GGCAAGGCCCCTACTTGAGGGCTCAATCCTCACATTCCATCCCCCTTAGCTTCGAAAGTCCGCTGAGATGCTTACTTCGCAGGTGCCTTCCCTTTTAGCTTCCGTTCATAATCTGCCACCACCTGAGGAGCTGTTTCCATCAGTTCCTCCCGAGTGAACCACCGATCTTCTTTAGGATCCGTATGATGCCTGAATCTGATCCGGTACTCTCTTTTGGGTTTAGGAGGTCTTCCTCGACCCAACGAGTTTTGAACAGGCATATCCCTGTGTTCCACAATGTCGTCGATGTCGACTTGTCCATCCATGGTTGGGGGCAGCATCGATCTCTAGGAAGGGATTTGATCAGTCTCAGCGAAAGGTGCAAGCTTTGAGGCATGAAAGACTGGGTGAGTGCGTAGGTGTCCAGGGACACGAATGACATATGTGGGACCATTCAACTCATCTCCCACTACATCCAAAGTACTGAGGCATCAGTTTGCGAGATACTCCGAATTCCTGTCCTAACTCACTAGCCTTGACCCAGACACGTTCCCCTACCTGAAATGTGGACTGTCTGCGATGTTGATTCTCAGAAGCAATCATGGTTTGCTGAGCTTTCTTCATATGTTCAACAGCGTCTTGCAGCAACTTCTCATATTGCACACCGTATTAAAGTGTGCCTGGAGTTGCAGCGGGTCGGTTTTCAGGTAGGAGGAAGTCTAATGCTGATCTAGGCTTCCATCCTAAGTGCAGCTGGTTAGGACTAACGCTGGTACTACTATGTATAGCGTTGTTGTACAGGCTGGCGATGAGAGGTAACTGCTCATCCCAGTCGTCCTGGCTGGGCTTGATGTAATGCCTCAGCAAATGCTGTACAACTCTATTCATTTGTTCGGCATGTCCGTTGGCTTCGGGATGATTCCCTGAAGTCATTTGAAGTTGACTGCCCATCTGTTCTGCAGTCTTCTTCCACAGCTCACTTGTGAATCGGACGTCTCGGTCACTAATGATGGTCTTTGGTAAACCAAAGTCCCTTACCCAGTTGTCCTTGAACAACTTGATGACGTATTCCGTCGTGGCTGTCTCTGGCATTGGAATTAGTCTAGCGTATTTGGTGAATCGGTCAATGATGACGAAAATGTGCCTCTTACCACTCTTGCTGGTCACAAGAGTGTCCATGAAATCCATGGAAACACTCAATCCTGGACCATCAGGAATAGGTAAAGGCTTCAATAACCCAAGCGGTGCTTGAGTTCGCGGCTTGTCCCGTTGACATACCTGACAGGTCTCAACATATTTCTTTGCGTCATCTAATATTCTGGGCCACCAAAATCGATGTACTAAGTTAGCACTCGTTTTCTTGTAGCCAAAGTGCCCAGTTGCGTCATGACATTCTCCTAAAAATAAACTACGCAACTGTTCATTAGATGGAACTACCAATCTTTTTACTCCGGCCTTATCAAGATACATTAGCCCATCCGCCATCACAAACTCACTTTCTGTGGCCTTGTCTTTTGCCTGAAGTTTGCGGATGATGTCCATCGTGACAGGGTCTTCCTGATAGGCTCCCACCAATGATTGAGTTACTTCTTCAGATACGCCAAAGTCGTGAACTAGCGCACCTAGGTAGTCTGCTCTACGGGATAGCGTGTCTGCAACCTTGTTATACTCTCCCTTCAAGTACTCAAGCTTGAAGTCATATTGGTCAATGACTTCAATCCATCGCTTGAGTGCATCAGAAAGAGCCGGTTGAGTCTTGATCCATTTGAGGGTCTGATGATGAGTCCTCAGATAGAAGAATCTTCCCAAAAGGAAGTGTTTCCAATGGACAAGTGCCTTGTAGAGAGCATAGAGTTCCCTTTCGTAGGTGGACTTAGCCAGCTTCTTCGATTGCATCTTCTTACTCATGTACTCAATCGGTCTCAACTTTTTCCCATCCTGCTGAGCCAGCACTGCGCCAATGCCGTATTGGCTTGCGTCAGTGGTCACTATGAATGGCTTCTGCGGATTGGGAACCATGAGAACTTCATGATTCATGAGTGCATGCTTCAATCTCTTGAAAGCACCCTCGCACTCATCACTCCAGTCCCATGGTGTGTCAAGTCGAGTTAGATCAATCAAAGGAGAGGCGACTATAGAATAGTTCTTGACGAAGTTCCTATAATAGCCGCACATTCCTAAGAATGATCTGACCTTAGTGACTGTCTGAGGTCGTGGCCAGTCTCGAATACTAGCCACCTTCGCATCTTTCGGCCTAATTCCCTCCGCGGATACTTCATGACCCAAGTATAGTATCTTAGTGCGGCCAAACTCGCACTTCTTTAAGTTGACCTTATACTTGTGCTGTCGCAGGAGTGAGAGAACTGTCTCAACATGCTATGCGTGCTCCTCGACAGACTTACTAAATATCAGAATGTCGTCTAAGTAGACTACGACAAACTTATCTAAATGGTCATGGAAGATCCGATTCATAGCGTGCTGGAATGCACCCGACGCATTACAAAGACCAAAAGGCATCACTACAAACTCATACAGACCATAACGAGTCTGAAAAGTTGTCTTGTGTTGGTCCTCATGTCTTATTGCGATTTGGTGATATCCGGATTTCAAGTCTATCTTTGTATAGTACTTGCATCCCTGCACCCTATCCAATAGGTCGTCTATGCGAGGTAGAGGCTCTGCGTTTTTCACAGTGATGGCATTGAGGCCTCTATAGTCAATGCACATCCTCAAAGTACCCCCCTTCTTCGGTACGAATAGAACGGGTGATCCGTAAGGGGAAGTACTAGGCCGAATCCAACCCTTCTCTGTCAGTTCCTTGAGTTGCTTCCGAAGTTCATCTAACTCGGCAGGGGCCATCCTATAGATC